AAATGTTTTGACATCTAAAATTCTCTAAACACTCAAAACTAAACTCTAATAGAACATAATTAACCCAAACATAAATAATATAAAAAAAAAATAATTTTAAAAAATAGTATTTTTGTAAAAATTTTAAAAATATGACATTTTTATAAAATAATACTTAAAATTTGGTTAGGCGAGAGATATTAAGAAGTATGTATATATTTATTAGAGAGGCTAGGCCCAGTTTGAATTGAAGCCCAATTGGGTAAGCTCTTAGAAAAGGTTGTTGACGTTGATTCTGTACTGTTGCGGCATCTGTAAGAGAATAGAGAAGAAGAAGAGCGATGGCGTCGTGGAGGGGAAACATATCGAAATGTATGAAAGAGCTCAGGATTCTTTTCTGTCAATCTTCTCCAGCTAGCGCTCCCGCCAGGTTTCTTCCATCATTTTGTCATTCACCTCTCAGATCGCCGATTCGCACTCCATTTCCGTTAGGTTTTTTTTTTTTGGGGATTTTGTTTTCAGAACGTTCGTAGAGAAGAATTACAAAGATTTGAAGTCTCTAAACCCTAAATTTCCCATCCTGATCCGCGAATGCAGTGGGATCCAGCCTCAAATGTGGGCTAGATATGGTAATTGCCTAATCTCCCTTCGACACGAAACTTGACAGCATTTGTAACGAGAGTTGAAATTATATGTTTATCTTACTGGAAAACATGTTTGTTAGTGTCAAATCAGACATCAGCAATGGAAAATCTGATGAGCTGTGTGTTCTTAAGATAGATTTGACATGGATGTGCCATTGGTAGTCACAGATGTGACGTATGCTTTTGCTTCTACTTTCATTTCTTATGGAAGACTCTCTTGAGTTAACCATTCCATTTCATGTGCACACTCACAACTATGCATATCTTTGTTCTCTTAGTTTACACATTGGCTGGTTCCTTGATGCATATGTATGGTTTCTGCTATTGTCTCTAGTTCTGTTCTTAATCCTCCTCGCTTTTAAACTCTGTGGTATTGAGATATCAGTGCTTTCAGCAGCTTAAAGTATTCAGACACCTATGTTGAGAGAACTTGATCCTCTTTAATCTGTGTTTTCCCACATCCCATCATATAGTAAAGGAAGAATATTGGAAATCATGTCTCTTCTCCTGCATTTAGACATCAGTGGCCATGCAACTGGTATGTTTAGATGAAAGTGTGAAACACACGCAAGGAAAAACAAGATGATGCTTTCTCTTTTTGGCCTGTATACTTATGTTTTACACAATAGTCATATGCGTTAAAATTAGTGTTCTCTATTCCACTTAGAAACTTGTGGTTACAAAAGTTTCTGTATTCTTTTAATTCGTGGTTGGCTTGGACACCCTTTTGCAGATATGGGTGTGGAGAGGTGTGTAAACTTGGATGGTATGAGCGAGCCACAGATTCTGAAGGCCCTTGAAGACCTTGCGAAAGCCGGAGGAGCTACAAAGGCCTAAGGTTGTTTGTTTTTGTTTACCTACATGATCCCGAATAAGCTTTTACTGGAAACACTTGAGATTGTTCCTGTCATTCCATTACTTTGTAACTCTGCGTCGTCATAACGCCTTGCGTATTTTAGTCGGTGAACTTGGAATAAATCGAACCATTTCATGTCATTGAAATCATAGCAAGGAGAAGAAGACAAATGATAAATTAAGTGTAGATTCCATTTCTTCATCGCAACATAACTTCATAGACTAGTTAAGGATCAGCTTATCTACAACAAGGTACTTCATACATTCGAATATAAAACAAATTCATACGATATAAAAGTAAAGGCTCTCTTGGCTAATTGCCCAGCACATGCGCAAGCAATGATGTATAGTGTGTGATTCCATTTGTTTTGTATCTCGATATTGCATCAATATCTCAGATAAAGAGTTTTTTTTTCTTGTATGTGTCTAGATTAATCATTCGGATAGTTTAATCCGAAAGCTCTAAGTTATACCCAAAAATGAAATCACAAATTCTAGGATTCAATTCCTAAAACCGGAAATGTTGGCTCCACACGTCATAAATAGTCATAATATCCGTGCATAGTGTAAAATTAGTATAGTTTTAGTTAAAACATTAATTATAATTATTGCGAGAATTATTAGACGAAATCCGAGAACCGCTTCTGTTTAGACTTAATGGTAGGTTTAGTATCATGATTTTTGAAATATAATTTTGAAGTTTAGGAATAATGAAATGTGTTTGAAAATTGGATATAAACTAATCGAAATATGCAATATATGAAAATAAATATGTTTGGTAACAAATATAGATTAAAGTGGTACACATATAGGTAGGTTTAAAGTCTAAAGTTGCAAATAAAAATGAAGATATAGTGCAAGATTTGATTGCTTACCGGAGTCTTGCTGGCATGCTTCAATACATGACTTTTATAGGCTCATAGATAATGCTTTTGAGAAGTTAAAACAAGAAAAGAATCACGCAAAAAGAAATATGGTTGTTGGAGCCACTAAGAAGAAATCCGTCAAAACAAGGAAAGTCTTGTGTCTTGTATCTTGAGAGCTTGGACAAAAAAGAGTGGTGTCTTGGGACGTACAAGTATATTGAGAGAGTTTTTGGAAGCCTCTGGGTTATGTAAAAAGTCTTCAAGTCGCAGTCCAGTCAA